CCCTTAACCACTACGATTACCAGATGATCCTCCTTAAGACCCTCTTCGCTTAAACTAGGACATGTGCGTTTCAGAAGTTCCGTCGAAAATGCACATGGCGGGAACGCGTAGAGCACGCCAGTACCTTCTGTGTCCTTGTTCAACAGCGATATCACGCCCGCTGCTTCCTTCTGCTTGAGGTAAGAGACCAGATTGCGCAGTGGACGCGTCTGCACGTTGGCATCGTCATTCGTGATCGCCGTACTCGATCCGGCCAAGCCGAGGAAGATTGCGTGCGAGCTGGACGTCTGAATACGCTTGGACACGTCGTCAAGTTTAGGCTGATCCAGCCGCAGCCGTTGCGTTATCCGTAGCATGTGTTTGCCCTCCTCATCCTTCATCAGGGTATCGATGATCTCGGTCTCGCCGTCGGTCAGGTGAAACTTGGCCGGGAACAGTGAGTTCTTCAATATTAAAGCACCTTGCCACAGGCCGATCGACTTTCGCGCCACGTCCGACAAGGTGCGCGACGTCGAGAGCATACCGGTGCGCGCATTCTCCGAGTCGGAGTCCGAGTCCATCTGCCGATTCCGGCGAGGGGAACGCGATCTCGATCTGTCTACACCGGGCTCGCGCGACAGAGACCTACGTATTCCGCGAGGCGCCTCGTACTCCATCTCGGGCGGTGGTCTCCTGCTGGACCAGTCGGCCTCGTCGCGCATGTAGCCCTCGGGATAGCTGCCCCGGTAACCACCTCGAGTGCTGCTACCTCGCCTGTCGTGCCATGGCGCAGTGCCCCTGCCGCCACGGAAGCCTCTAGGTCCGTAACCGAAGTCACCTTCGGGCCCGTAAGGGTCGTACGGTGATTCGTAGTCGACCGGACGCGGCCTGAAGTCGCTGCTCTCTTCCGGATACGGTCTGGGCTTGAAGCCGAAGCCCGGGGTCACGTCGGCGAAGTCGACTCGGAGCCGGCGCTCCGGGCCGCCCAGCGGGAAGCCGCGCATCTCCTTGACGGCCGCCTGTGCGGCATCGATCGAGTCGTAGAGAATGTAAGCGTTGCTGTCGCCCTTGATGTAGTCGATCTTCTTGATGGCGCCGAATCGGTCGAACTCGCGCTCCAGTTGCGGCACAGAGGTCCACGGGCCGAGGCCACCTACCCAGATCCGAGTAGTCGGCGTAGCCTTCCCGTAGCCAATCTTACATTGGAACTTGCCGATGTACTGGCCCGAGAGCTCCACTTTGCACCGATGCGCCATGTCCAAGGTCTGGAAGCGCACGAAGGCGTACGCGTTGCCGGTGCCAGGCGGCGGTCGCTTGATATCAATGTCATCCACGATACCGTATTTGCTGAAGATGCGGCGCAGCTCCTCTTCCGTGATGTTGATCTCGAGGTTGCCGGCGAACAGAGTCCTGGTCGCCAACGGGTCGTCCTCGGGCGACACGTGATGCAGGTAATTGGGGAACTTGTCCTTCTTATTCTCGACACGCTCGAACCCGTGTACCGGATGGCGTATCATCATATGACGCGGCGGACCGTAGTGATGGGGCGGGCCCGGGTGCACGTGGCCCGGCGGTCCGTGGTGTATGGGAGGCCTGACGAAGTCGTGATGAGGAGGCGGAATTGTCTCGCGACGCATCTCACGATGCGGCGGCAAGCCTACCGCCGGCCCATAGACCCGCTCGTATCTCTCGAGAGGCCTGTGTCTATCCGTGGGTCCTGGCGAACGGGCGTAGTATCTCTCGTAGTCCGGAGGCGTTACCGAACGCGGCCGACGATAGGTGTCGGCTCTCTCGTAGACTGGCTCTACCAGAGCGACCTTGTCGTACATTATGATGCGCGACTTGGCGTGCTTAGCGTCACGTGCATCCTCCGAGTTCCTGAAGCACACGTAGGCAACGCGCTCATCCAACTCGTGCGTGATACGGATGGAGAAATCTCCAAACTTCTTGTACTCCCTGTACAAGGTGTCCTTGATGATTTCATCGCTGGCTTTCGGGTGGATGGAACTAACGCACAGGATTTTGTAGCTGTAGGAGCGCTCCGGCGGCAGATCACGCGGGGCACGCAGGTAGTCGTCCCGGTGTGAGCTCGACTCGACGTAGCGCGCGTGAGAGGACGCTCGTGTAGGCGGGCTGGGACTCCTGGCTCCTCTGCTCCT